ATTTAATTTGGCTTCTTGGGGACAGCCCTGGAACAGCATGACAGTTCTAGAAAGTGGTGTCACACTTACCCATTCATTTGGCACTAAGCAGGTTTAGATCTCCTTTTGGAGAAAGGCATTTCTCAGAAGTAGCATATGTTGAGAATTAATCAATTAACCAACAGGTAGGTGTTTATTAGTTTCCTAGTTTGTTTTTAGTGCTGTGGGAAAGATAAACTCTGACTCTAAAAATGTAGTTCTGGAAAATACTACTAATTTGTCATCTATAATGTGACAATAACTGTTCTTCAGAGTGTGGTTACATAGGATTTGATCTCAATTTCTGGGCATTTGCAGTTGACAACCTCTCAGGAAGTGAATATAGATGAATATAGTTATTCAGGTGCTCAGGAGGCAAAGAATAACAACTGCAGGCTGGGAAAAAAAAGTAGTTTTGGAAAAGAGGACTTGTGTTTCTCAAAAGTTTTTCTCTGTTTGGAGAAGGGTGGTGTTCTGGAAATGGACATTTGCCTTAATTTAGATGAGGGTTGAGGATGCTGAAATATCTGAAAAAGGTAACTTTAATCAAGTAAATGAAGTGAAGTGACAATGAGACTCTCCTCCATCTTCCTATTCTTCAGAGTATTTCATATAAAATATTAATATGCAAAAAAAATCAGTAAGCTAAGCCTCTGTAAAAATGACAGATGCTAGCAGCTTTTGCATTTCTAGCAGGTAGGAGTTTCTTTTTTTCTATAGTATAGGTTAAATGCTTATTTATTTAACAAATATTCTCTGACCATCTACCATGTGACCGGCACAAAAATCAGGCAAAAATCCTCGCCCTCCTGGTGTGGGAATCAGACAATGATCAAAATAGAGAAGTATTTTAGTAAAAGGTGCTAAGGAGAAAAAGTAGAGAGGAAGAACAGGAAACGAGGGCGGTCACAATTCTAAACATGGGAAGATCTTAGAGAAATTTGAGGAAAGAGATATTTCACTTTGAAATCTAAAAACATTGAATTCATAGAAATAGAATGGTCTCTTTATGCTCTAAATAATTATATGTTCTAAATTAATCTCTGACTCAGAGCGTCAGTTTAACAGGGGAGCAAGAAATTTTCTCAGTTAGGCACTAAGTGCCCCCTATTTCTAGGGCTGTGAGAATCTACAGGGGTGCATATATTGATTCTCCAGTGAGTTTCTAGGGCTCATTTTGCTCCAGCCTGGTGGCTGCTGAGGACTGTCTAATCTCATGTGATTTTTGAGGAGCCAGCTATTTATTAGGGCTATGAAACCACAGCTTAATTTTGTCACTTGGGCAACCAAGTGCCACCACATGGTAGAAGTTCTCCCCTGTGGGGACACAAATCTAGGCTACTCCAGGAACTCCTCCAGAATTCTCAAACCCACCTCAGTTTGGAGGACCCTCACAATGGGATCACTTCTCCTCAAATTTCATCAACACTTTCTAACAGCCTTTCTAATGGCCTGACTTCCCAGACAGAAGCTTGAGTGGGAGAGGCCATTGTGCTAAGTGAAATAAACTAGGCACAGAAGATCAAATACCACATGATCTACTTGTACATGGAATCTTGAAATGTTGAACTCATAGAAGCAGAGAGTTGAATGGTGGTTATCAGAGCTGGGGAGTTGGGGAGATGTTGGTTAAAGGGTTAAAAAAATAAGTCTGGTGGTTGTTTTCAGGTCTCTGGCTACCCTTGGTTTGAAACCAAAAGGGTGCCTGTAGCAAAGAACAACCTTTTAATATGATACTCAAAATAAGAGGCTTCATTCCTTTTGGTCTCCAAAGAACTAACGACAAAACAAAATGAATGTCTCAATCCATTCAAATAACCTTGCCAATACATTCAAATAACAAATGTGGTCCCTTTAAATTATTTGTCAATATACTCAGAGAATTGTGAGAATAATATATTTGCCCCCCCCTTTGATTATTAGCATTGTGACTCTGTATGTGGAGTTGGGTGGGGAGATATTCATCTGAGGGTGTTTTGTTAGTTTCACATCTCTCCCTTCACCATCAGACCAGTTCAGATAAGAGACAGTAAGCAAGGTATAGAGGTGACCAAGGGGAGAAAGAGACCAGGAGACAGAAACAGAAATGAGGGTCCGATGGAGGAAAGGTAGACGTGGGAAAGGGGAGGACAGGGAAGAAAATGTACTGAGAAGAAATAAGGGAGAAAGGACAAAGGAGAAGATGAAGTTAAATAGACTTAGAACGAGGGTTGGAAAATGAAATATTGAAGATGGACAATGAAGAAACAAGTTAGTTGAAGAAATTATGTTAAAATTATACAGAAGGTCAGAAATTATGTTAAAATTATACAGAAGACCAGAAGCCTGACACAGGATTCCTGGAGGCTCCATGGGGAACCTGCTTCCTTGAGCATGCTTGATTCAAGAGCTGCCTGTTTCTTGGTTCATGTTCCCTTTCTCCTCCATCTTCAAAGCGCCTCTCAGATCATTCTCTGAGGTTCAAATTTCATCTCTCTATTCTTCTGCACCACCTCCCTGCCATCATCTCCTTCCTCCATGAATCAAGAGAAGTTCTCCACTTTTAAGGATTCATGGGATTACATTGGACCTGCCTGGATAATGCAGGATAATCTCCCCATCTCATGGTCCATAAAATCATAGCTGCCCAGCCTCTTTTGCTATAAATGATGTTATATTCACAGATGCTGGGAATCAGAACACTGATTACATCCTCGGGGCCATTGCTGTGTCTCTCAGAGATTTGCAGGCTTCATTGGAACCCTCTCTGTTAATGAAAGTATCAGGCAGTGCAGTTTTGGGGAGCCCAATTCCAATCTAGACCATGTTGAATGCGTCTTAGCCTACATACCATTTGAAATGTAGAAATAGATGTAGTTCCCAAAAAGTCAAGATATTCATTTTGATAAAAATAAATGCATATGCCTTTTTATTATATTCTAATGTATAATGGCAGGAAAATCAATGGATGACTTTGAAACCTTAAATAAAATCTCCTACTCTGGTAGCACGGTGCCCAGGATTAGATAGAAGCCACTGAAGTGGTGTCTTTGTCTGACTCTGTGCGGCCATTGCTGAGGCTCGTGGTCAGCATATCCCTTCTATCCTTGACACTTCTCTGATAAGATGCTTGTAGATTCAGAATGACTACAGGTGATTCCAGATGGCAGCTTCTGCTGACTCCCAAAAATTGCTTAAGCAGGCCCACCTCAGATGAAGAACCCATCCTAGTTTCTCTGTGGCAGAGGGGAATTCTGTGGAATTCACTTCCTCCTTCACAGGTGTTCATGTGCTTGTGTTTGCACACATCATTGTAACAAGAAACCGACCTTCTGTGGAGAATATTGGCCGGAACCCTCTGGAATTTGATTCCATAATCTGATTCTGATTCTGGTTCATGCCCTGTTCTCTTCTTAACAACATTTGGATCAGCTTCCTGGGCAAGTTGAAAGTGAAAGTTAAAAAATTCCATGTGAGGATGAAAAAGGAAGTCTGGAAGGAAACGAGAAGGTGAGCTTTGTAATTGGCTATTCAAAAATAAAGTCAGATCTTTACTTAGAAGAAGAAAGGAAGGAAATGTAGTGACTCAAAGTATCTACAATTTGGGCTATTTTGCCTATTGTTTCCTCCAAACACAAAGTAGCATTTGTTGAATTCCAAGCACTTGCTGGTTATTGGGGCTACTAATACTGAGTATTTTCATAGGTCTTATTGTGTGAGAGAGTTTGTATGCATTATGTTTGTCTGTATCAACATATTCAAATTCATGTAAAATTTTATGTTTGTTAAATTGCTGCCTGACTTTTTAGAAGTTCTTTCACATCAGCTACTTTATCTGATCCCATAGCAATTCAGAAAGTGGCCAGTACAGATATGAAATCAGAGTCATAAAGAAATTAATCATCTTATTCTCACCTTACTTGGTCCCAGGGCTAAGGAGTGTTAGGTTACAATCAAGTTTCTTAACTTTAAAATCAATACTCTTTCTATTTAATTCTGTATGAAAAAAAATTCCATAACTCAAGAGTTTGGGCAGAGATTTAATGATTTCAGAACTATCAGAGCTATAATACTAATTTTCATTACAACATATATTTAACAGCAATTGACCATAATTTGGTGCTGAGGGGAGTATTAAACAATGAAAAAAGATAGCATTTCATGCAATATTATATAAAAATATAACAAGATCTTGAAAATGTAATATTATATAAAGAACTAAGAGACTCAGAAAAAAGGTTTGTTGCTGAACTATTTTAAAATAGTACACAGTTTCTATCACATGATGAATGTAAGAATTAAACAAGAAAATACAGAGACAACTTCTGAGTTCAAATTGCCCAGCACGCACAAAGCTAAGCATTTTCTGCACAGTATAATTAATTCCACCAAAAAAGAGGAAGATATACCTTTAAATTGATTAAACTATAAATTTAGAATTCTACCCCATTACCTCATGTGTTGCTTTTCCCTAGTGTAACTAAACTGAGCCAGTTATACAAAAATTATTTTACTGAAAAATGGTCAACACACTGGTACCGGTTCAGACTCAGAAAAATTTTCTGGATTATTTATAAGATTCAAACAGATCGAATTTTTTGTTTTGTTTTTAAAGTCAACCTAAAGAGGTACACACAAAATCTGTTTCTTCCTGGTTTTACTTGTTGGTTTTCAATAAATGTTCATTTTTAACCTTCCAAAAAATGTATTCTAAAATAATGTGATTTGTCTTTTAGAATTTAATCATCTCTTCCTGACTCTTGAAATATTTCTCTAGCCATGTCAAATATTAACAAAGAGCTCCACATACAAAAAAATTCCCCTTAATTCTTCTGTCTTTGCTGATATTTGTGGCAGATATGAACATTGCATTTGATTAAGTAGATGGAATCTACTTAATCCTACTTTTGTCTGTGAATATGAGGTCTAGCTCAGTTAAGGGACAGGCTCATATAGACTGTCTAATACCACTGTCTTACTGCATTTAAGGAGCATAATATGAGTCTTCAGATCTTTATTCATCAAAATTGAATGTGTTTCATTAGGAATTCTACTCAAAGAGAAAGTCTGCCTACTGAGAAAACTATGTAGCAACCATTTTCCCTTAGCCTAAAAACAAAATACAAGTGTCTAAAAGTTCACAGCATTTCATGTCTCAACCTCCCCCAACCATGTGGAGACATGGGTGAACCAAGAGGAGGTGTTTTGGACTCTCAGGCTCAACATCAAGAGTCTGTGCAATAACTTCGAGATCCTTCTCGGATCAGCTGTGTTTTCTCATTTGCATTTGTAGGCTGGAGAACAACAGGAAAGTCCACATCTAAAAATAAACAGAGAAAAGCAACAAATATGCTTATCAAATTATAGTTCCTTTAATGGGGGGCAAGAGGTAGGTATTTTTCTTGAAATGATAATGAGCAAACCAATTGAATTCATGAAATATTATTACTATTAAAATGCCTATCCCTTTAAGCACTACAAAAGGGAGGAGACAACTGTACATTCCTTGCTCAAGTTCTGTTAATTTCAGAATTATAAAACTGAAGCTGTAAGCCCAACTTTCCCTTGAGAGAGAGAGGCTTGCTGAACCTACTGAACTTGAACTTAAGTTTTCACTACCTTGTGAAGATGGACCCCGAGCCACCAATATGGTTGTGCAGGTTGGACGCTCTAAAGCACTGTGGGCACCTTCATAAAGACTACAATGTGTATCTGTATGAAAAGTCTAGTTTATGTGGCACATGACCCCTAAAATTTATAGTGCATAATTTCATGCAGATTCCCCTCTGAGATAGGAGTCAAAACCCAGAGCTTGTTTAGGTGGAGAGTCTAATAGGAAGTTCTCCACATAAAGGTAGTGCCCCAAATGGTTATGTCTTCTCTAAATCACGATACCCTTAAATCTGCAGGGAGACTTGTTAGACTTGAGTTTTGGCACTGAATTGAAGGAACTTCTCTTAAAATGTTTAATGGCAGGCCAAGGAGTACTTGACAGATCAAGTTTTCATCACCTGTGTGTTCTAAGCAAGATGACAATTTCGTTTAAAGTGGTCCAGTGCAAGACTACTCCCAGGCACCTAGCAGAAGTGAATGACTTCACATTCAACATAGTTCTAAAGAATCCCTATAACATTGCAAGAAATGTAATTTCATAGTAAAAACAAAGAGATAAGAGGGAAGGGAAAATTACACACAGAATGCACACTGAGTGACAATTTTTCTTTATATTGGTATATTAAAATTATACATAATAGTGTCATTCATTGTTACATATTCATATATGCATAAAATGTAACACTATGATTTGGTCAGTTTCATTCCCTAGCACCTCTTTTCCTCCCTCCCCTGGTCCCCCCCCTTCCTTTACTCTACCATTCTTCTGAAGAGAATATTAATGTAGTACAATACAGATATAAGGAGATTATCTGGGAAAACATGAAAGATGGCAAAAGAAATGAATAGGGTGATAAAATCTAACATATCTAATGCAACTTCCAAAGGGAGGAAAAAAGAGGAAAGGCAGTATTTGAGGATTTTATGACTGAGAATTTTCTAGAACTGATGATACACCAATCCACAGATTCAACAGAAATTAAAGAGAAGCCCATATTTAGAACATCTTAGTTCTAATGAAGATCATCAGAGACAGTGGTTTCAAAATCAGTCTCAATAGGAAGTATGATACTATGTAATTACATCTACAGTATGTCAAAAGAAGAACTCTGTCAACTTTATTTTGTTGATTAACTCTCTAAGTTCTTTTTTTTATTAAAGCATGAAATAAATGTATATCCAGACAATAAAAACAGAAAATTTGCCACCAGAAGACCAAATTTAAACATATAACAGGCAGAAAGGAAATGTTATCTGATGGAAGATTTCTGCTGTAAAAAGGAATGATTAGCAAAAAACCACACACACACACACACACACACACACACACACACACAATAGGGTGATACTCCAACATACTGGCACAAGCACTGATTACTTAATAAGACTCCTAAAGCTCAAGAAATAAAACTAAATATCAATAAGTGAAATGACTTCAAATTAAAAAGCTTTTGCAAGGCTGGGGTTGTGGATCAGCAGCAGAACATTTGCCTGGCATGTGTGAGGCCCTGGGTTCAAATCTCAGCACCACATATAAATAAATAAAATAAAGGTCCATCAACAACTTAAAAAACAATTCTTTAAAAAAAAAAAGCTTTTGCACCACCAAGGAAACAATGAAGAATGTGAAGAGAGAGCCTATTGAGAGATTATTACTAGCCATTCTTCCTATAGGAAATTAGTATCCAGAATATATGAAGAAAACAAACAAACAAAAACCTAAAAAACTCCCCCAAATAACCCATGGGCAAATGAACTAAATAGACATTTCTCAAAAAAGACAAATACAAATGGACAACAAATATATGAAAAAGTGTTCAACACTCTTAGCAATCAAGGAGATGCAAAAATCCAGACTACACTAAAATTTCATCTTACTCAAGTCACAATGGCAATCACCAATAAATGCTGATGAGGATGTGGGGGAAAAGGTACACTCATTCATTGTTGGTAGGAATACAAACTAGGACAACAACTTTGAAAAAGAGTGTGGACATTCCTCAAAAATGAGGAGTGGAACCACCATATGACCCAGCTATCCTACTCCTTTGTATTTATCCAAAAGATCTAAAATCATCACACTACAGTGCCATGTGCATACCAATGTTTATAGTAGCACAATTCACAATAGCCAAGTTATGGAATCAGCCTAGGTGCCTGTCAATTGAGAAACAGATAAAGAAAAGTGGTATATCGAGGCAACAGAATTCTATTAAGCTGTAAAGAAGAATGGCATTATGTCATTTGCTGGTAAATGGATGGAACTGGAGAATATCAAGCTAAGTGAAATAAGCCAGACTGAGAAAGTTAAGGGTCAAATGTCTTTTCTGATATGTGGAAGCTTAAAGAAAATAGGAATTTTAAATGGGGATCTTATGAAAATAGAAGGGAGATCAGTAGTGTAGAAGCAGGGGACCTAAGAGGAGGGGAGGGAAAAAGGAAGAACCAGGGAATTAAGTTGACAAAATTATTTCATGTGCATCTATGAGTATATCTCAATGCATTCCAATTTTATACATAACAATAATGCATAAATTTAAAAAATAAATAGAGGTAAGACCAGCAGGGTAGAAAAAGGGAATCAGAAGAGGGAGGAAGAGAGGGAAAGGAAATGTACTGGGAATTGACATGGAGAAACTATGCTATATCAAAATGAACCCTGAAATTATGTAAAACTATAATGCACTAATACAAAAATAAAAAAGATAATAGTAAATATGTGAGTAGAACCAAAGTATTATTGCTAGATTGTAAGATTAAAGGTAATAGGAACCAAGTCTTTCTTTTTCCTAGCCCCTAACATACTATCAAGAAAATGTTAAGTTCTCAAAATTTTTGCTGTTGAAAGTTTATCTCTATAAACCAGGCTGGTAAATTACTCAACTTTGGCAGCCAAAAATCAAGAAAGCTTAGGTCCGCTTTGCTTTGTTGGGGACCATTTTGATGAGCTGATTCACTGTCTTACTGCTCTCGCCTGGGGCCTTGATGCTTGCTTAACATTTTCATGTAAAGATGCACAAATTTCTGGCATTATTTTTCATGCATTATTTTCGAAATTGTTCTTCTTGATTGTGGGAAGGAAGCTGAGTGGAGGAAGAGGGCAAAAAGAGGAAGGGTGAATTTATTTCTTCCTTGGTACCCTTTTCCTGAGCAGTCAGATGTGCTGAATACTGAACAGCCAGTATAATAAATGAATCAATATCTTGGCCAAGAGCAAGAGCCATATGGCTTCTTCTTCACAGTGGTTGTGAATTTATTTGGGTTTTATCCAGGTGAGTGGCAAGAACAGTTAAGCAACCAACATATTTTTCTGTGCACTGAATCATACATTTTTAGATCCAAGGTCAATACCATAAGATCTACTTCTTTTTTAGATACTTTATTCCCTTTCCTCTCCTTAAAAAAGAAAAGAAAAGAAAGAAGAAAAATCATGACTCCCCAAGAACTTTTTTTGGGATTTAGCTGGAAGTTTTGGTTGGATATAATTTAATTGGCTTCAGCTTAGAAGAAACAAAATCAATTTAGCTCCTGTATTTTTTATTTGCTTTTCCAGGATGTTCAGAAATGACTGGTGTACTTTAGGCTTTTGTTTTGATACCTTGTTACATTGTCACACATACATTCATGGCTCTATTTGGAGATGGTCTCGAAAATCCTCTTAGCTAGTGGGGTTCTGATTTCACTGTGACCTTCAGAAACCTGAGGACTATAGAGGCTAAATGAAATTGTTTTAAATATGCCAATCAAAATTTCACAATGTGAAGCTTCTAATTTGGGATCATGAAAGTAAGGGACATAACCTAGTATCTACTACTTTTTACCTTTCAGGTTTTAACTTTTCAAAGATGAAAAAAAAAAAAAAAAGAAGTGTTCTCCTTCACCCTGCCAAAGACACACTCTCTCTTCCATTTGACTTTGATTAATGCATAGGAGCAATATAATCTTCCTATGTTCCTAGGATCTCACTGGGAGTATATTTTTTATTTTGAGAAAGAGATGTAATCATTTATAGGTTCTCTAGTTGATTATTGGAGATGCACTGTTTGAACTTTGTTTCCTTTATTTCTTAAAGGTAGAAGCTGGGTTATATCCTTTGACATAGTTGAAAGAAATAAAATAACCAAGATATATCCTCTCTTCTACCAAATTTCACCCTATACCACTCTCTCCTGAACAGAGACTTTTGCCATGTTATTCTATTAAGAGTATCCTCGCCTTTAGCCAGGGTCAAGGAGTAGATATGATTGAAATATGCACACAGGAAAAAAGCCTTAGAAAACAGTCTAATTTTATAATTATCTCAAGGTAGGTGAAAAACATTTCTAATGTTTCTAATGTGTTTTATAAGTCAACAGATAAAAAGGATTTGATATTTCAAATTTGGATTTTTATAAATTAAAAATATATTTATAAGATCCTATAACATCTTCTTAAAAGTAAAATTTGAGGTGATTGGCCAATGAATTGAAATCAGAAATGTGTTTTTCTAATAAACCCCTACTTTTTCTTCTTTATGGGTAGTCTAGTAAGGCTCAGAAGAAAGTTGCCAGTGATTACTGTTAGTTTTGTTCTAGAGAAAGCATTATCTCATATTAGTTCTATTACATTTATGTCTTGGCATTTCTGGATAAGAGACAATAGAAGAAATGCTAATTCATTCAAATCAGTTTTCATGTATTAAAAATAAATTTCCAGTTGTAATATTCATATCATGGTCAAATCTCCAAGCACAGTATAACTTGAAGTATGACATTTAGACTGACAATTAATATAAATCCCTAGATCTACCCATTCCTCCTCACCCTACTATATCTCACCTCAATTTGTTTCCCCTTCCACTTTCCAGGAAAATGGAAATTTAGCACTGGTTAGATAATTTCCAAAACCCAGTGCAATGAAAATATGATATATTTTATTTGAAAATTAAGAATTTCAAAACAACAACAATGGAGCAGTAAATTCAGTGCTCAGAATCCTTGCCAATGTAATAAGGCAAGAAAATGAAACAAAGGGCATCCCATCTAGAATGAAGTGGCCCCCATGGATTGCTCCCAATTCTAGAACCCTAGGATTTTATCATTATCTAGAACACAAGGATTAAAAATCCTCTGAGTGAGACAATGTTTGCCACTTTTTATTTAATTTCATTAAAGTAAAATTATGAAAGCCCAATGTCACACCATTGCCTTCCAATCTCCCCCATTTTCTTCTGATGCCTTTACATTTAAGTTTTGCAACTTTGTATCTTGATGTACATTGCTTCTCATTAATTATGAGAACAGAACTTTGATATTTGAGTAACTGGTAACCCTCTTTGGTTACTAACTTTAAGTGAGATCCCTTCTTTCACAGAACAGATTAGACGTTAGTTTATTTATCAGAAGACCTCAGTTCAGAAAGCACAGTCTGCTTTTGAGGTCTGCTTTTTCTTACCAGCCTTAATTTGCATTAATTTCACCTGTGAAGTACAAGTCTCGGAGTTAGTGAAGTACAAATCTGAAATTAATGCAACAAACTGCAAATGAAGAATAGATTCTCATAATAAAATGTTAGACTGGAGAGAATTGAGGGATTTACTGCAGAGTTGATGGTACTTGACGCTTCGGGGCCCTCACCTTCAGAGACCTTTCCAAGAGTCTATGTTTATAGATCAGAAAAAGGAAGATATTTATAGACTATAATCAGCCAAAAATTGCCTCTTTCTATGCTGATTTTCCCTTCTCTCTGACAAATGAAAACAGAGAGCTTTTGGGGGATTTGCTTAAGGGAGAATAGAGCTGGAGATAGGTTTCATTTGAGTTTAGTGGATTATGTTTTTGTGGTTTGCAGCAACTCTATGTATTATTAATTATTGCTAGCCATGTGGGTGTAGGAATGCCTTTAAGAATGCTCCTACAGCTCATTATGTCAATTCACTTACTTGAACATGGAGATCTAAGACAAAGGTCATGTCACATAATATGAATGTGTCTAGTGGGCTCTGGCCTGGGGAGTATTAGATGCTGAAACAAGGTTTGAAATGTACAGAGGTGGTCTGTGGAAATTTCTTGCAAATCTTACATCTTTTTATATAAAATAAGCTAAATAGTTTCCCCAAATTTGACAAACCCTAAACAACACTATAAATAATGAGTTGCAGAGTTGACCGAACACGTTCTAATTCACCAATAATAAAAAAGAAAAAAAAAAATGGGCCAAACACAATAGAGGAGAAGCAGAATTAGTTTTATATATATTTTTTTTTACTATAGAAAATTGTGTTACAAAAAATAAGACAAGAATATGCATCCATACAGCATTAGAGGGAAATATCAGGGCTATGTTAGGCAGTTAATTATATGACTGCTGCTTTTATAGATTTTGTAATATAGGTGGTATTTTTCAGAGCTCTACAACTTTCTCATTTCAAATGAATATTCACTGCCAGATCTTATTTTGTGTTCTTTTTCTTAAAGAGGGCTGAAAAAAATTACATTTCAGGTCCCACAAAACCCGGATCATCCCTGCATAAGAGCTTTTAAGTATTTAGAAATTAAAAAAAAAAAATGTTATCCTTTTGGTTACGGATTCTTAATGATACAGTCAAAGGAGACTCCAGAATCTGACCTCTGAAACAAAATTGGTAGCTCTATGGTGTCAGAGAAACTGAGAACAGTGACAGGCACACAGATTCATCACCAAGCCCCCAGCAGGGAGGAAATCTGGGTGGAATCTGGCACCTAGTCTGGATTTCGGTTTTCGAAAAGAAATCTTCCACAAAGATCTATTGAAATGACCTGGTAGAGCTTTTATCTAATTCAAAAGAGCAAAGATTGTGAAGCCTTTCAGAGAAGTGTGAAATACTGAATTTGGGGTATCTAGGTTCAGTTCATCTAGTTTGGGTTTTCCCAAATATAAAGGAAAAGTTAAGACAAGGTCGAGACTATGGATGATAATGAAGATGATACTCTCCTGTCTTTCTGTCCCTCCCTGTCCTCTGTCAGTGAGTGGGTACTGGGCTGGAACAAGAGATGTTATGGAGAGATCCTATATGGTTAATGCAGCCAGTGACCCCTGATGTGATCTTTTTTTAAAAAAAAAATTTTTTTTTAGTTGTAGATGGACACAATATTTTTATTTATTTATTTTTATGTGGTGCTGAGAATGGAACCCAGTGCCTCACACATGCACTCTACCACTGAGCTACAGCCACAGCCCCAACCCCTCACCCCGTGATATAATTTATAATAGTTTATCTCCTTTTAAAACAGCAGAAAAGATTAATGTGCTGGCATCATCATTCATAAGCAAGTTGGGCCACTGTCATCATCCCTTCTCTAAAAATAAGGAGTTTCCATGCAAATATCACCACTTAATCCATCAATCCACTCACTAGTAATCCTGCTTGACTGATCATTTTGTATGCCCCTTGAGAAAAGATAAATTTGCCCTTTTGTATCCCAAATACAGCAAAAAAAAATTAGTAATCATATTTTATCATGAGCCCACAATTTAGCTCCAAGGACAATAATAAAAATGATCAGAAAACCTCCTCTAGTTGTTGGACTAACAATCCCCATAGCAAGAGATACAGGTTGCAGAAAAACTCTTTCTGTCCTCTCTAAGCTCCCAATTCTGAAAGAGTCTGTGGCTCAGTACAATTAATATGACTTTTCTTTTGAGCTAAAATAATGCGTAATACTGCATAATAGTATCACATTATATAGAAATTAAAGGCATGTGGAAGCCTTTAAATAGTTTCTTGTGCTTGACATCCTGGAATTTGTTTCAGTGTGACCAGAGCCAGAGTATGGTCTGATCCAGACAAGTGCACCGTCCTGAAATTCCAGCAGTTCTGAAAACAATGAGCCACTGTATGAATTATCAAGTAATTTTTTTAGTTAACTGTCCAGAGTTCTTTTAGGATTCAGTGATAAAGTCTGTAATCCAGAAAAATGATGCATTCCACAGGAGAAAACAACAGTGGATTGTGGCTGTGAGAGGTAGCAGGAAAATGGCAATTTGATGCTGGCTTTCTTAAACAACGATATTTCCCAAAGACTATCAAATATTCTTGGTGTGAATCCTCTGGGATCTTATCTTTCCTTGCATTTTTTTTCTTTTTCATTACCGGGCAGAATGAATTTGAAAAATCAATTTATCATGGTAATGCATACACATAGACATATGGAGCTGGTTTGGTAAAGCAAATAGCCCAATTTTTTGACGCTGCTTTGAAGCTAAACCTCAAGGTATATAATTTATAAAGAAGTTATATTTCAGAGGAAGAAGAGAAGTCTGCTCCAGTTCCAGTCCAACCTCTTTATCTATCCAAAGGAAGAAAAATTAAGGGTTGATGGCATTTTTGATGTTCATTCCTTTCTGTTTCATTAGAGACGTTAAAGGAACAAGATGAAAGGCTTTTTCTGGGAAAAATTTCTCCCTTGGGTTTCATGTCCTGGACACTCTCACCCAAACTTTCCTGAACCCAGAGTGCACTATATTTTGTAATGAGATCATGAATTGTACTTGCTTTGCATTGTTATCAGCATATTTAAAGATATTACCAGCTTTTCTCTATGCTTGGTAAAGACAAATGACCCTTCCTTTTCCCTAAAAGACCAACCCAAAGCTGTAGTCTATGGGATTTCCCTCATGTGGCCATTGGATCTCTCAGTTTAATAGGACCCGGTGCTTGGTCTGGTCTATGAAAGGACACTCACTACCTCCACTCTCATTTTACTCCACCTTTTTCCATGTCAATCTTGATCTGTTCCTCGAGGTCTTCTGGTGACACGTAAAAGTCCTCTTCTGACATTGATGATTTGGGCCGGCAGCGTCCACAACAACAGTTGCAGCAGCAGCACAGGCAGCAACAGAAATAGCAGCCAGTCAAAAGGCCAATGATGACGAATAGGGCCTAGGGGACATAGAAATCAAGCACAAAAGGGGTGAGACCTGGTAGAGAGGAGGACAATCCCAGAACCCAAGTCTGCACCCTCAAGAGACCTGAAGATATCACAGCGGATACCACAATGGCATGTCCACCTTCATCCTCACCTCCTGAAGAAACTATCATTTCAGTTTCCTTGAAAACCATTTTCCTCATAAAGTTTTGCCTAATAAGTTCGACCCAGAGGAAATGCCATGTGCACCAGTAGAGCCAGAGTGCTTTCACTAAACTCATCCTTATCACAGGGCAGTGACACCTGGGTTAAAGTGTCCCCCCAGGTTCAAGTGCATCTGAAGCCAATTAGCATTCCTTGACCAAGCCCACTCCTGCCAGCTAGCTCTTTCATTCCAGAGTACCAGCCTGATGCTTTTCGGTGGGATCTGTATTTCCCTTCCTAATTCAGTGAAAGAACGTATGTAAATATAATTTTTTCTTTTTAGTGCTGTGGATGGAACCCAGGATCCCTTTGCCACTGAGCTACATTGCCAGACCTTTTTATTTTTTATTTAGAGACAGGGTCTCTCTGAGTTTCTGAGGATGACTTCAAACTTGCAATCCTCCTGCTTCAGCCTCCTGAGTCACTGGAATTACAGGAGTGTGCCACTTGGCTATAAATAAATATACTTTTATCAGAAGATAAGGATAATAAAATTCATAAACAAACATGAATTATCACCAAATATACATATATTAGAGATTCCTAGGAGATCAAACAAAATTTACTACATAAAATTTAATTCAGACTTCACTAAGTCCTTAAAAAGTTGCATTTTGCTTGGCCAGATGTCCATTTCTCTCCCACTTCCTGTTCTCCACCACTTCCTTCCTTCTTCACTACCTCATAGAAGGCTCCATGTGAGCCTGTGACACAATCACTCCTCATCCTCTCCAGTACCTTGTTTGCTGATGTAGCCCATGCTATAGATAGTAAAGTGCATGGCTAAATTTGTCCTATCATAATTTATTAAACAGTTGTCACACTAATAAATTATTTTTGGTTTTGAGCAATGAGTCAGTTCTTAGTCACTATAGAAGGGACGGGAGGCCAGTCAGAATTAACCTGAAGCTCCAAATTCAAATATAATTAATGTCTAGCAGTATTTTAAGTCAGAACAGATTTCATAATTAACTGAAGAACTAAAGCAAACAGGATCCCCAGATAATAGCTCTCAGTAGAAGAGTTGTGTCATTTTATTTACAAGAGTTTCATGGCAGTAAGCTTAGTCTTTCTTTGAGATGAAGTTTAAAAGAGGGAAGAATACTGTGATCTTCCAGAAAATTGTTTTTGAAGGGAAAAAAATCTGATTTACCTTTGCCCACCAGCTTGACAGCATGAAATAGGTATTGACGTTTTCATCTCCAAATTGTTCGGCCACGTAGAGTCCCAGTGATCCATACTTATCATATATGTTTCTCTTGGATATGTCTGTAAGTATGGTGTGGGCATTGTTGATTTCTTTAAACTTCTCAGCAGAAGCTGGATCATCTGGATTCTTGTCTGGATGGTGTCTCAGGGCCAATTTTCTTTTAAAGTTAAAAAAAAATGTGAGCAGTGTTATTTGAAAAACATTACAAAGACATTTTGGAAAGGTGGGGTTCATTTGTACATCTTTTATTTGTGTAAGTCCTGTGAAATGTCAGTTTCACAATAGTGGTGATTTACCAAGAAATGAGTTTTCATTAAATGGTATCTCTTCTTCCTGATATGCACAAACAATCATATATTATTTCTCTCCACACATCCTCGAGGGAGTTCTCAATAGTGGCACAACTGTTAAGTCACAACTTGCTATGGACAAGTGTGTGAAGTCGATCTTTACCTGGAAGCCGCTCCATAGCCCACCCCAACACATAGAGGCCCTTAAGGGTTCTAGCAGCAGGTTCTACTTTACACTCACATTCCATTTAGAACCAGAGGAGTTTTCCAGAATGACAGAACCTCATGTCACATATTCTAAAAGTTAAATTAAAGTATAAAAGGAGAAGACCCTGAATTAACACTCCCTTGAACACATTTGATGACCCCTTCTCAGATCACTGATAAGTCTTAACTCACTTTTGACTTTCTAAACAAACACTATGGCTTCCTTTGTTTTCCAGTGCATATTTAACCCCTTTCCAATTACGTCTTCCCACTTCAAACACTCTGTAGACATTTGCTGTGGGTTTAGGGCCCTCTTTCCTCTGTGGATCCTAAAGTAGATCCTGGGAAGTCTGGGACATCCTCTGTGTTCAGAGTGGATTGGGGATGTTCTTTACTCTTCTCTTTATACTTAGGTGTAAGAGTGGATGTGAGAAGTCAGCTGTGCCAGACTCCTACTGGTGGCCATTTCTCTCACTTGCCCCTGGAGATGATTTAAATAATGCTTAACATTCAAAATTGAGTCTGAACTACTTTTTTTCCACTAAAAACTCAATTTTATGACTCCTGGTTAGAAATTACCCATGACTTTTCTTCCTACTGTGCCCACCATAGGTATTTGTAGTTATAATAAACTTCTACTTATTGTGTTATTTTAGGTAGAATGTTTCATTTTAATGCAGAGATAAAAGTCCAGAAGTAGAACATAAAAGTAAGTATAGCTTGAAAGCCAATCTATATGGTACAATGAAAAGTCACCTGTTTTAGGGATTAAAGTTAGGGATTACTGGTTAAGAAGTAGATAAGTACACTCATACATTGCTGGTGGGACTGCAAATTGGTGCAATCACTCTGGAAAGCAGTATGGAGATTCCTCAGAAAACTTGGAATGGAACCACCATTTGACCCAGCTGTCGCGCTCCTTGGTTTAAACTCAAAGGACTTAAAATCAGCATACTGTAGTAACGCAGCCACATCAATGCTTATAGCAGCTCAGTTCACAATAGCTAAGCAATCTAGGTGTCCTTCAACAGATGAGTGGATAGAGAAAATGTGGTATATATATATACAATTAATTATTACTCAGCCATAAAGAAGAATGAAATTATGGCATTTTTTGGTAAATGTATGGAACTAGAAACTGTCATGCCAAATGAAATAAGCCAGTTCCAAAAAACCAAAAGCTGAATGTTCTCTGTGGATGCTAACACACAACAGGGGATGGGGGTGAGGGAAGAAAAGAAGTTATTGGATTAGACAAAGGGGAATGAAAGTAAGAGAGGAGGTGATGAGAATAGGAAAGACCATAGAATGAATCAGACATAACTTTCCTATGTTCATATATGAATACATAACCAGTGTAATTATACATCATGTTCAACCACAAAAATGAGAGCCTAATTAGAATAAGTTATACTCAATGTATGTATAATATGTCAAAATACATGCTACTTTCATGTATATCTAAAAAAAAAACAAATGAAAAAAAAGTAGGTAAATATTTAGGCAGTGCAGCATTAAGATGCTTAAAATGTACAAAAATCCTTAAAAGTATAAATCATGATGTCTAATATATTCTAACTCTGAACTCAGACTAAATAAAAAAAAAACATGACAGCTCATTTCAAATTTGTTTAGTACAAACATTTTTTAGCCTTTATTTCGAGAAATGTTTAGAGTACCTTTAAATTATTATAAATGTGAACATTGGTGTCAGTGTTTCTTATGCACACAAAATTTATACTGCAACCTCTGGAAATTGCACAAAATGCCTATTTTGTCATTTTTAACCTTTTGCAATGTTTATTACATGCCATCACTTTTAAACAAATTAGAAATATCAATTCATTAATTCTCACAACAACTCTATGAGATAGGTATTATAATTATCCCTTTTTTCCAAATTCTTTTTTTTTTATTTCTTACATACATGAAGAAATAAAAATGAAGTAGTGGAATACATTACAATCATAATTATCCATTCACAACACCATTTTTCGTAACTCTGTATATAAAGTGTGTTCACTCAAAATTATGCCATTTTACAGAGGATATTTAGGCACTGGGAGGCTGAATATTGCTCAATGGCTACTCAGCTAATAATTAGAACTAGGCTTTGAACACAAGCAATTCAACTCTGACCACAAGCTCTTTATCACCACTATGATTCTCCGATGTTGATATTTTTTTTAATTTCAAAAGTAAGGAACACAGAATGCATAGTAGATCCTTTTAAGTATTTTGGCTTTAGTCTGGTGACACGGGAGAGGACTTTGTAGTTTTTCAAGAAGAGCAATAGTTTTAGAAGGATCACTTAGTATGGTAGAAGGCAAAGATGAATGTGAAGAAACTCTTTTTGGAGACGTGTTATAGTGATCTAGGCAAAAGGCTCGTGGTGGTTTGAAGCAGTGTGGTAGTAGAGGACTTAGTGAGAAGTGCTGGATTTGGGATATATTTGAGGAATAGCTAATAAATTGAATGTGGGGCAGGAAAGAAAAAGATGAATGATGATGGCAGCAAAGTTTTGAGCACAGCAACTGGAAATCACTAATTTTTTTTTTTTTTTAGAGAGAGAGAGAGAATTTTTAAAATATTTTTTAGTTTTTGGTGGACACAACATCTTTATTTTATTTTTATGTGGTGCTGAGGATCGAACCCAGCACCCTGTGCATGCCAGGTGAGCACGCTACCACTTGAACCACATCCCCAACCCCTGGAAATCATTATTCAATGATTTTTTAAATTTTTATTTATTTATTTTTTTGTGGATAGTAAGTTTTCTAACATCCGTGAGTTCCATTTTGGACACCTTGAAATGCCTATTAGACTTCTAAGTGGAGATGAAGATAGAGAATTCTTGCCAAGATGTACATTTGGGAGTTTTTAGCAGATAGCTGACATTAGAACCATGAAACTGGAAGAGAATCCAAGAAAATGTTTCCAAGAAGTCCAAGGACTAAGTTTTGGGAAAGGATAACCAGAAAAAGAAACTATGAAAGAAAGACAAATGGCTCACAAGGAAAAATCTGAAGAGTATGAGGTTTTGGGCTCCAAGTGAAGTCAGTAATCATCTGTGTCAAACGCTGCCGGCAGGTCATATAAGATGAGGGTTAAGAATTGATTGGGGGGTCTAGGGATGTGGCTCAAGCTGTAGCGCGCTTGCCTGGCATGCGTGCAGCCCTGGTTTGATCCTTAGCACCACAGACAAAGAAAGATGTTTTGTCTGCTAAAAACTAAAAAATAAATAAAAATTTTTTTTTAAAAAGAATTGACTGGGAAATTTAGTTATTTGGAAACATCCTGGGTGACCTACACACACACACACACACACACACACACACACACACACACACTTATATAGTGTCTTTATATAGGGAAAATTATAGTAGAAAAATAAGCAGAAGTCAGAAAATTGAATAAAAAAATAAAATTAAAAAAAAAGAAAATTGAATAACCCCAAATGAACAGAGTTCATAGCTGCACCGTTCAAGATTATAGGTAATGATTTAACTTTTACTTATTATAAAATCTATACATATTACTTAATGTTTTTTCCTAAACATTTTTAGAGCTCTCTAGTTCCTTTAAATGACCCACTACTATATTAAGGGTAAGGGATGAAAGAAAAAAAAATCCTCAAACTAGAATAGTGATCATCATCAAAAGGCCTCAAATAGATTCTTCAAGCTCATTTATTTTAAGGAGTATAGTATTCCTGGAATTCTCACTCTGTTCCCTGGAATACTAACAGGATCCTTTCCCTAATAGTTCTAAAGATATTATGTTAGGCCAATCAAAAATAAAAGGCTATTAATTCTGCCTTGAAGAGGGGGGGTAAAAATCCCTGGAAAATGCCCCTTTACATCCATTTCCTTGTTCCTAGATGCAGACTGATACACACTGCCCAAGACAGAGAAGCCTGGCTTTCTGTCATTTTTTAAGCTGTTTGGATCTTTGTCAAGCTCACAAGGGCAGATGCATCAATCCATTCATCACACTCCCCTAACAATGGAGTTGGCAGGCGTGGAGGGCTGGAACACCTCCACTTGTAACAAATCCAACTCTTGGTCGTCAGCAGCCTTTTGACTCCTCTTGGCAGATGCTCCTGGCTGGGAGGAATCCTTGGGAAAGATGGTGAGCAGAGACAGCTGCCAAAATTACACAACTGCTCAAGGAGGTATTTGCTTAGTGTCCCACCCTCTTAGTAATTGTCTGTAGAGCAAAAAAAAAAAAAAAAAACATGTCAGGAATTTAGGGTTTAAGGAAGTGTTTGGAGTACATTTAAATAGAATAGTCACCTGTTCATTTTAGAGGTCTTTCTTTTCATTTCTAATTTTATACTTAAAAGCAATCTAATATTCAGTCAGAATGTGAGCCTTTAAATTTAAATCTCCCGATGCTTTTAGTCACCTGTTAATCTGGAATGGCTATAACTAACACCATTAGAAATAGCTTCCAATACCCAATCAGGTTAACCTCAAAATGCGATGACAGCTGTCAACTAAAATGCATGGTGAATTCAATGAGTGGCAGATAGATAAACATGGGGTTTACAATTGTAATTACCTAAGGCCCCCAAGATCATCTACCCATTTTTGAGGCAGTCGAATAGTTCTAAGAATTGTGATGCTTTGTCCTGTTGTCTTCCTTGTCCCTCTAACAC